TAAAGAAATAGAAAAGTTTTCTCGTTGTGTTGTTGTTGATAATCTTGTTGTTTATGTGTCTTCGTGAAGATTCTTGGAGATTGAAGGTCTAACATGTTAGGGCTCTACATCATATGATAAAAATCTTCTCTTTTTTTGATTATTATGATTTTAGGGATTATTAAAATTTTCTTGTAAAAGTGTTGGAATCGAGCTCCTATTGTTGCCATTGTTAAGATATTGTTAGGATATTATAGTTTTTCGTTGTTACAAGTTGATTTTGCTATGGAAAAAACCATGGAATCAAAAAATTAGGGCTATTTTGGGTTTAAAATTGGGGAAGATGACATAAATTGATTATATAATTAATAATAAAGAAAGAAAATGACACGTGGCACTTTTAAATTGGTCCATGGCAGTAAAAACACGGAATGACGCGCCTCATGTGCGTGGTAACAACCCAGACGAGGGAATGGGTCAAAATGGCCCATTTACAACGATATTAAATAGTTATGTGGGGTGATAGGACACTTTGAAAGTTAAGGTGTCTTTATGCAAATACGGGACAACTTTGATTGTGTCTTTATGTCTTTTCTCTAATATAATATAATATCTAAAGATAAAGGTAAAAAACATAGTTAAATTATCTTTTTTTTTAGTTTCATACCTAAACTATTGAGAGTGTGAATTTCATACCTACACCATAACTTATTAGTTTGAGAAACACACATTTCTCTTTTATTACAGTCTCATCATGATGTGTATAATGCACTCTTTCTTTTATTTAAATAATTATCACATCACATGCCACATGGACAAAACATTTCACTCGACAAAAATTAAATAAAATTATCAGTGGAGTATTTGTTAAAGTTAAAGATTAAAGTATTACTATTCTCACAAATATTATTAAATAACATGTAAAGTATTTTTCTTACCACACTTCACCGCTTTCTCTCACCGTACTTTCCCATCCCAAATTTTTAGGTTTTTTTAAAAAGAAATCTTTTATAGAAGTTTTCAAAAAATGTTTTCGAAAAAATAAAAAGAATTCTTAATTTACACCCCCCCCCCTCCACAAAATTTCTTGAAATAATATTTACATATTATTTTAATTTTTTTTCAAAAAATAAATTCTACCCGACCCCACATAACTCTCCGCTTTAAATTCTTTTTTCGTTTTGTATATATATATATTATAGTACCTCAAAAACATGAACTCCTAACTTGAATGTTAAATTACTATAATATATTTAACTTAGGTTGTGACTTTTCTGATAAGTTGTGATTTTTTTTTTCAAAAGTTTGTGATTTTTCGATGAGTTGTGACTTTTTCAATAAGTTGTGACTTTTTCAAAGAGTTGTGAATTTCCGGAAAGGTCATGACTTTTCAGATAAGTCACAAAAAACACTTGTTCATACTACCCTTTGTTGACTATAAATAGAGGGTTTTCTCTAATTTTTCAACCATATATTTTTTTAATCTTGTACATTTCTTCTTCTTGCATTTTAAAAATATTTCGTGTCATTTATTGTCGTTGAGTGAGTTCGGAGTTTAGCGGAATATGAGGTACCACTATTCTTATGAAGTAAATCGTTCTATCCTAAGAGGGTATTTTCCACAACCTCGAGTACTTGAGGAAAATAATTTTGATGATATAATAATTATTTTTATGCTTAATATATACATTAGTATGTAATGTGTCAATATATATGCTTCTGAATATGTATATGTATATGTACTACCTTAAAACCTTGAACTCCCAAACTTAAATGTTGAATTACTATAATATCCTCAATTAAAAATACAAAATTTTATTTATTTAATTAATTGTATAATATTAAAAGTAGATATCTTTTCACATTAAAGGGTTGTGACATTTTCGATGAGTGGTCACTTTTCCGAAGGGTTGTGATGTTTTGAAAGAGTTGTGATGTTTTGAAAGAGTTGTGACATTTTCAAAGGGTTGTGCTTTTTATGATGACTTGTGACTTTATCAAATGATTGTGACTTTTATGGTGAGTAGTGACTTTTTAGAAGGGTTGTGACTTTTTTGATAAGGTACAATTAGCACCTATTCATACTACTATTTATTAGGTATAAATAGAGGGGTTAAACTGCAAATTTTTTTAATAGTTTTCTACTCTTCTTCTTCGTAAAAAATATAAAATGTTATTTGCAATAGCTGATTAAGTTTGAAATTCAACAAAATTCGAGGTACCACATAAGAAAGAGTTGATGAACAAATTGTAGCAAATCATTCATCAAATCACACTCGTATTTTCCTCTCATTTTCATCACATACATACTTCAATGGTATTTATATCATTTTAGAATATTAATACACATTTATTTAACCTACATATTTTAATTATTAAACAATGACTTATTTCCTACGAATAGTCACAACAATTTCAACTTACATGTTTCTTCGATCATCAATCACAACCATTCACTCATTATAAATTCTTGGAAATCTCTTTACTGTAACAATTTGAATTTTTCATAATTGATGCATCCCCCAATCCATTGATAACTACTGTCGAAGTTCTTAGCATTGAAATTTAGGTACTGACTTTCAATTAAAGAATACGAGAAGAAAACAAAGAAATGTGCGCAGAGATTTTCATTTTTCTTCTTGTTTTATTTCTTTAATTAATTTATTTTTATGTTTTAATTCGAGAGAAAAATTAATAATTAGTGTTCACATAACGAGTGAACAGTGATGAATACACACATTGCAGATTTTTTTAAATAAAATTAATAGATCATGTTGTTGGAGAAACAATAATTATAAACAATAACCAAATAGGCGCATGATTGGGGTAAGATATTTCTTCTTTATTTTTTCATTCTTTATTCTTTTATCCTCAAACGAAGAAGTTTCTTCCTAATTTTGCTGAAACAACGGGCATCAACGTAGTCCATTGAATTATTAGTTTTGATGTTAAGTCAACTGTTTTAGAAATATATTGTCACTTTTACTTATAATATGATAATAGATTCATGATAATAATTATTTTTAATAGATATGTAAGTAAATATAAATGGAGTAAGTAAAGTGTCGGTGACAACACATTTCAGTCATTGGCTTATTTCGTCTTCCTTCTTTATTGTGTATGAATTGTTCCATTTATTGTTTTATTTTATTTATTTATATTGAGTATGAAATCTCTGTTATCTTGTGTTCATTTTAATCTGAGAAGATATTATGTTACAAGATACACTCCTTCTTGGCTATATAAAAATAGATAATAAAATAATCTTAAATCAAACTACAGATTCTATCAATAATACTTTAAATTTTATTCATCTATTAATTATTTTATTGAAAAAGTTCAATGTTTTATATCCCGATACAACTTTTGTAAAATACTATATACTTTCATTAGACAACAACTATATGATATATATGCGGCAGAGAAAAATGAGAAGACTACAATTCCGCAAAGATAAGGTAGAAACATAAAGAAATGAAATATTTTACACAATAGGTGATGTTGTTCATATTTAACATTAAATTATGCTACTCAAATATATTTATCTAAATCAAAGAATTTGTCAAGTTAAATTTTTGACATACTCTCGAGTATCTATTTGACCATCATTTGTTATAATAACATTTCACTGAAACAACCTAATTTTCTTTAGAACTAATTTTTTATGTTATATTTTTTGTCTCAGTAAAATTCTACTTATAAGAGTGTTAACATTCACTATTGAAGTACACTTTTTTTTTGGTAAAGTTACCTCTCTATGATAGCCTTACTAAAATATTAATTGAATAATAATATTTTGTAAAAGATATATTACGTATAGAGATAAAATATTGAAATATTTATGGTAGTCGTTATTAATGTAATGCACATACTAAATTTCAAGTCTGTATATTTAAGAAAAAAAATTGTAGTTAGATGGTGTCCATAATTTATGGTCATAACCTCGATAGGAAAGGCTATTTGTGACCTTTTTTATACTGATATTTTGATTCTATTTTGTTTGTTAAACTTGTTTACAAATTGAGTGAAGTAAAAAACAATACTACTAAAGAAATGTCACTTTCTCTCCAGATTTAAACTTTGAATGTATTTTGAAATGTTTCAATGATATCTGGTCATTTTGATCTAAAAAACAAGTAACTCTATGAAAATATGTATTAATAATTTAAAAACACATATCCTATATATGCTCTTTCTATTATATTTAGTACGCAAGTACAAAAAATTATTTTCCTAAAAATACATGTACACATCTAACACAAAACGAGAAAAATGTAATACTTTAATCTTTAGTTTTTAACTAATATTAATAGTTTATTTAATTTTGTCAATGTGAAATATTATATCCATGTGGAATACCATGTGACAAGATTTTTACAATGAAAGAGTGAGTGTATTACACACAACCACTGAGGTGTGTTACTCAAACTAATAAGTAATAATTTATGTATGAAACTTACATTTTCAATAGTTTAGGTATGGAACTTAGAAAAAGAATTAATTTAAATGTATTTTTGGCATTTATCTCTAATATATATAAGAGAGTCTATTGTTTAATATTGTAATATAAATAAATCATTTAGTTAAATGCTTAAACAGTTAAATATCAAATGGTAAAAAGCAGGCAAAATATCAGATACCGGTGGTGTGTTTCGTACTTTCGTATGAAGGAAAATGTTATTTTATTTAAAAGATTTTCTTGTCTTAAAAGTATACGGTGAGTTATTTTCTCATTTACTTTGGGGTGTTCGATAATTATGTAAAAAAATGTATTAGAATAATATTTATATGGTGGAATCTAAAAACACAAAAGGATGGAAAGTGGGGGTCTGGTCTGAGGGGTTGGGATCCTAAAAAATATAATTGATTTTCCTACGCATTTTAGCAGACCAACCATAACAAAGTTTCAAAATAACTTTTCGAAAATATTTTTCTACATGTATATATACCACACACTGTCTAAGTCACCTGTAGAGGACTATTATTATTTATAGTAGGATGAAAATAAATTGTTCAAACTGCAAAATGTTTAAATCACTGCTTACATCAACTCTCTTCATTGTGCTTTTTTCTCTCTCTTCTACTTATGCGGATTTCGACAAATTGCAACTGGTATTAACATGGCCACCATCATTTTGCCACGCCAATAGTTGTCAACGAATAGTTCCAAAAAATTTTACGATTCACGGTCTTTGGCCGGATAAGGAGGGACCACAGCTGTTGAAGTACTGCAAGCCAAAACTTAAATATAACTATTTCAGTGTAAACAGCTTTATTATTTTCTTCAGAACCGGATCCTTTTCTATTCTGTTTAATTTAGTGAAACGATTGTTTTTGAATTTCTTGCAGGATAAGATGCTCAATGACCTTGACAAACACTGGATTCAGTTGAAGGTTGATCAAGCTTCTGCTCTAAAAGACCAACGAGCATGGAAATATCAATATCTAAAGCATGGATCCTGCTGTCAGAAAATCTATAATCAAAACACGTATTTTAGTTTAGCCTTGCACTTAAAAGATAGGTTTGATCTTCTGAGAACTCTCCAAATACATAGAATTGTTCCTGGATCAAGCTATACATTTGAAGAAATCGTTGACGCCGTCAAAACAGTTACTCAGATGGATCCTGATATCAAGTGTACTGAAGGAGCACCGGAACTATATGAGATAGGCATATGTTTTACCCCAAATGGAGATAGTCTAGTTGGTTGTCGTCAAAGTGAAACATGCGACAAAACAGGGAAAATATTTTTCCGTCCCTGAACAACTTCTATTCCTTCATATGTTATTCAAGGTAAGGTAAGTGTAATAAAATACAAAGCCAACATAATAATCTAAACCATCAATAATATAAGTAGTCTGAATGACCACGTAGGAAACCCTGTTGAATAAAATATCTTATCAATTGATGAGAATTATTCTCACGTAGGTATACTTTCTAGCATTTCCCTATTACGAACCTTCTCAGTTTACTTGTTTACTGCCCTAAAACATACCATTTTGCAGTAGATTCTCGTTGGAAGTGAAGTATCAGTATATAATCTGCTCTTCTATTTTACACAAGTATAACCTTTTCAATATTGTTATCTTATCATCGATGAAATGTCCTTCGGATAGTGGGCGATGAACTCAAATGACATATCTGGACCTTTTTCCTGTGAACCTTTATAATATATAGGCGCTACTATAAAATTCTGAATGAATATATCTGAAAAACAATCCCTGCTTGAGGTAACAGTCTAGGACACCTCTCTCTTGTTGAGAAAACCTGATTATTGTCCCAGCAAGATTATGGATATCTTAACTTTATTGAGCAAAGCGGCATGACAAGTCTAACTTGTACAACATTTTTCCGATAATCGCTCAACTATCCCATTTTTCAGGGCATAGACGGTCGTATGCAAACCAATTACTCAACTTTAGAGGTGGGGGTCGTAGCCCAAGGATTGGAAGACGTGCACACCTTAAAGTGATTTCACAAATCAAAACATATTAGCAAATTTAATTATTAACGAGCATGTATACATACAAATGGGGAGGGAGGGCTAGCAACAGATAAAATTCTCTAATATTAAGCAATAAATTATACAGAATCAACACAAATATATGGTCTACGGAGTTCGGAAAGGATTAGGTGTGTGTGCATAATGATTACGATTTCAACAAGAATATTCAAAGATTAACCGTACATAATAAAATTGATTGTATGATAGCGTTTGATCTAGTCTACACCTTGATATTCTCCGGAACTATCAATTGTATGTCCCTTGAATTCTCTCGAACTCCAAGGTCCTTTCAAACAAAAGACCAAACATTGATTGAGTAGATAGACTATCACAAGCTCATATCATAAACTGAGAAATAACTCAGATTATCCCATCCCTGGGTCAAACCCATAGAGTAATTTAAACAAGTTCATACCATTGAGTCTTACTGAACTCCATTTTTCTTTTTCAAGCCAAGACGGTGTTAATGAGGTCAATCAATATTTGCAACGACTAATTTTTAGATGAAAAATCGATAGAACATGCAATAGATCCTTATCATACAATAAATTTCAAAGATCATTGATCGGTACTCATTTAGGATTTTACACCCCCATCTAGAACACACAACCCTAGCTAAGGATTTAGCTTCTCATAAAAGAAGAAATAGAGACATTACCCATATAGGAAATCTCTATTTCAAGCTAACAAAATATGAAATCCAAGCTTAGAGTGACATAGATACGAGTGTCGGGCAATCTATCATCTTATGACCTTTCTTTCCACACCCAAAGAAACAATTTGTGCCGGCTAGGCACTTACTCACATGTTGCTTCCCACACTTGGCACATGTAGATCTTTCAAATGAAAAATCGCCTCCGTTTCCTCCTTTAGATTTAAGGTTAGACACCCTATCCTTGTTGACCATTGATGAGGCCACAAATTGGACTCATTTAGGGCTTTATTTTGATAAAAATAGTGTCCTCGAATGCTTATTTTGTCTCAATATCTGATTAAAACTCTTAAGTATCAGGTATTTGAAGTTTTAGTGGAAACATGGACACTTAGGCGCAAAAAGGAACAAAAAGGCTGAAAAGAACGAAGAAGCTAAAGCCTGAGCATCACCAAGCACCTTTGGCGATTCTCTGAAAGGACAGACTCCGCCCTTTGTTCAAGTATGCGAAGCCCTGAAGGAAAAGGATCAAAAAGGCTATGAAAGGAGCAGTCGACGCTTCGCCTAATAGTTTCGCGAAGCAGTACTATACCGCCTAATGGTCCAGAACGTGAAGATGCTGAAGGCAAGCACTAAACAGCGATAAGACAGAAGAAGGGCGAGTCACCAAGTCATTCGGAGGACTCGGCTAACCTCGCCGAACTATCCGTCTACACTAATTTCTGATGGCTATAAATACTAAACTCTATATTAATTTTATGAAGTTCTGAACCATTATTATTTTTTTCAGAATAGAATAGTACATTTTTAGATATTTTCTCTCAAGTTTGAAGAGGATTTTGTGGGAGACTTGAAGAGAGAGGATTTCATCTTCCCCAAGTTGGAAGTGGGTCTTCTCCATTCTTCTTCCTTTGCTTAAATCAAGGTTTAATTTCTTATACCCATTTGATTTTAATATCATTTTAGGTGTATTTTGTTATTTCTTAATGTGTGGCTAAACCCCCCTATTCTTGTGGTGTGATTTAGCAAATATGTGTTGATATTGTTGTTAGGTCTTGCTTGCTGATAGGGTAGATGTATTTTAATGGTGATTTCACCTAGTGGTTGTGGTTTAATTTAATGGGTTTGTAGTTGCAAATACAAAACCACCCATGTGTTTTCAGCTTGGCCGAGAGGGAGGTCGCGAAACCAAGACCACTAGACTGATGGCCTAAGGAGTGGGTGACCTGAGGTTCAGCCCGAGAGGGTGAGCCCTAGTCCCATATCCTAACACTCAGCTCGAGAGAATGAGTGGGATAAGGCATAGGGTGGTCTTCATGCGGCAAATGGGTGTCCGAGAGGAGCCCATTTGAAACGGGGTAAGTTGCCCAAGAGGGAACTTATTTCCATCTAAAGCTTAGCCTAGTCACTATTATCTTGCAAATTTCCTATCGAAAGCATGTACCCAATTATTTATCTCAGCTTGTATTACGGTTACACCCCAAGAACCTTTCCCCATAGTTGATTTTCTTGTTAACTTTTGCTATTTTTACTACTTGTGACAAAACCCCCAATTGATATTTGACACTTTCGTGTCACCCTCTTAATTTACCATGTTTTTATTCGTTAATGTCTTTAGCTACGACTAATTATAGCTAAATTTTATTTTTCTATCAATTCTCAAAACCACTCCCTTCGGACACGACCCCAACTTTTAGTTGGGTTACTATACTATCGACGATCATAGACACTCATACGGTAGGTTAGTATCGTTGATTACTATAAACATCAAACTGGTGCCGTTGTCGGGGAGTGGTGTTATTTGAGAATTTTTAGATTAATAGAATTTTTGTTCCTCTTAGTTGTAATCTGCTTACCTAATTTTCAATTTTGTTTTGAGTATTTGTGTGCCACAGCAGGACATATGAGTGCAAACAGGGAGAATAATTGTCAAGCGGACCACTTAAGGTGTGGTGTTTTTCATCGAGATGACATCGATGATGCTAATAGTGTTTATAACTCTGCTGGCATGGGCGAGATGGGTGAAATTTGCATGCCACAAGCTGACGGAAAAGTAATGTTCAAAGTTACCAGCGCAACACTCCAACTCATACATTCAAGAGGTTTATTTGGAGGGTTAGAGCATGAAGATCCGCATGAATATGTACGAAGCTATGTGGAAGTGTGCACCTCTTTATCATTCAAGAACATATCTCAAGAATCCCTATGGTTTCGCTTATTTCCATTATCATTGACTGGGGGAGCTACTAAATGGTTGGTTGAGCATCCCAGCAACTCCATTAAATCATGGGAGGAGCTGGTTATGGCATTTCATGAAAGATTCTTTCCTCCATAAAAAATGATGAAGCTGAGAGACGATATTCAAAATTTCAATCAAAAGGAGGGTTAACCAATACATGAGTCATGGATAAGGTTCAAGAGATGTTTGCGTAAGTGCCCAACGCATGGAGTGCTAGGTGAATTGCTACTCTAATACTTTTACCGTAGTCTGGACTCGGTTAATAAAGGGATAGATGATCAATTGGTGCTAGGAGGAATAATGTTACAATCATTTGAAGTAGCCTCATTTCTCCTAGATGGTATGACTAAAGTAAACGAGGCATGATATACCAAAGATGATCAAGTTTCCCTTATATTCTTCCGATTAACGCAGGAACAAATTGAAAAAGAAAGGGAGAGGGATGAAAACATCAAGAAGATGTTATCTTAAATGGAAATCCTACAAGAACATATGAATAGAACACGTGGAGTATTTCGAGTTGAAGAGGGTTCTTCTTCTGGTTACGCAAGACCAGGGGAGAATCAAAGTTGGAACTCCAGAAGATACGAGGAGGGTTTCCACCCACACTATCAACCGCGGGGTGGGAATCAAGGTTGGAATTATTATAGTAGCGAAGAACCAAGGAGATGTTGGCAAGATGGGGCTGAGCGGGATGATCAAGAGGAAGACCATACTCATTTGAGTGAAAGCCCAAAATCTAAAGGGAGTGCTAGTAGTCCTTAGGTAAATGATTTGTTATCGCGCATACTTGATAAAGTTGAGGGCTCTGATGATTTTCTAAAAGGAATGAAAGATGACTTTTCATCATTGAACAGTAAAGTGAATTATCATGTTGATGTCATCAAAATGCTGGAAGGTAAATTGAGTCTATTATCAGCTCAATTAATGTCCAAAACACTGATGGACTATAGTGACAGAGAGCTAGCCGTGGTTACCCGTAGCGGTAAAGTGGCAATAGGAAATGTGATGGAAGATGAGGATCCTCTAAAACATGAAGGGAGCCAAGGTGTGGAGGAGCAAGATTTACCTACTCGACCAAACCTCACTAAAGAACCAGACCAACAAGTTCAAGTTCCAAAAGTGATACACCCTTTACCCAAGATACCTCCACCATTTCCCCAACGTTGGTAAAAGAAGAATGAAGATGAGAAGTTCAAATTTTTTTTGTCAGTATTCAAGAGCTTATCGATTAACCTTCCTCTGGTAGAAGCATTGTTGGAAATGCCGGGATACGCCAAATTCATGAAAGAACTGGTTACAAAGAAAATGAGCTTAGACTATGAAACAATTGAGGTGCCCCATAGTTGCAGTCCAATTATGGCAAATGATTCAATCATGAAGAGAGAATATCCTGGAGCATTCACAATCCCTTGCACAATTGGCATGCTCCAATTCGCTAAAGCCTTGTGCGATTTAGGAGTAAGCATCAACTTGATGCCCTATGCAATATACAAGCAACTTGGTTTGGGTAAACCAAAGGCAACCACAATGAGGCTCCTTATGGATGATCAATTAAGCACCCAGTGGGGATATTCTATGACATATTGGTAAAAGTGGATCGGTTCATCTTTCCAGCTGATTTTGTGATCCTAGATTGTGAGATCGATGCTGAAATACCCATTATTTTGGGAAGGCCATTCTTGGCCAACGGGAGAACATTTGTGGATATTAAAAGCAGGAAATTGAAGTTGTGTGTTAATGATGATGAGGTGACCTTCAATATCTGTAAATCCATGAAGCAACCAACTAATATCCATGTGGAGTCTACTGAGGATATGATAGATGAAGCAGTGGCAAGTGTGAGTTATTTAATGCACAAGAATGAACCCCTTGAATATGTACTTGCCAATTGTGATGAATCCGAAGTTCAGGGTTATGAGGAAGTGGTAGGTGCTTTATCAAGATTAGGAACATATTCAAGAAATCCTATTAAGTTGGATATTGACCTGAAAAACAGACAAAGTCCCCCTGCAAAGCCATCAACAGAAGAACCACCAAATCTGGAGTTAAAAGCCCTACCCTCTCATCTCAAATATGCCTTTTTAGGGGCCAATAATACTTTACCAATCTGCTTGAAAGGGAGGTGACATTGCTCATTGAAGTACTGTGGAAGCATATAAAAGCTATTGGATGGACAATAGCCGATATAGTAGGAATTTCTCCTAGCATCTGTACTCACAAGATTCTGCTCGACAATGAATGTAAACCTAGTGTGGAACATCAATGGAGATTGAACCCTCCAATGCAAGAGGTGGTAAAAAGGAGATCATCAAGTGGCTAGATGCGGGAGTAATCTACCCTATTGCAGATAGTAAGTGGGTAAGTCCGGTGCAATGCATACCGACAAAAGGGGGTATAACCATAGTCCAAAATACAAAAGGAGAACTTATGTCAACAAGACCAGTGACTGGGTGGAGAGTATGCATGGACTACCGAAAGCTTAACTCATGGACCGAGAAAGACCATTTTCCAATGCCTTTTATAGATCAGATGCTGGACCGGTTATTAGAAAGAGGGTGGTATTGTTTTTTGGATGGGTAGTCCGGCTACAATCAAATCTCTATTGTGCCAGAAGATCAAGATAAAACTACTTTTACTTGCCCTTATGGAACATTCACATTCAAAAGGATTCCATTCGGGCTATGTAATGCCCCAACAACATTTCAGCGTTGCATGCTATCTGTTTTTGCTGATATGGTTGAAGACAGTATGGAGGTGTTCATGGATGACTTCTCAGTCATAAGGGATACATTGGAAGAGTGTTTGACTCACCTAGGACAGGTACTCCAAAGATGCGTGGAAATAAATCTGGTTCTAAATTAGGAGAAATGTCACTTTATGGTAAAAGAAGGTATTGTTCTTGGGCATAAGGTGTCACAAAAGGGGCTGGAAGTTGACAAGGCGAAAATTGAGGTCATTGAGAAATTACCTCCGCTAATTTTAGTAAAGGGTGTTCGTAGCTTCTTGGGGCATGCAGGATTTTATAGAAGGTTCATTAAAGACTTCTCAAAGATTGCACTCCCATTATACAAACTCTTAGAGAAGAAAGTGAAATTCTACTTCAATGATGCTTGTGTGGCTGCATTTTAGTGTTTAAAAGAGAAACTAATATCCACTCCGATTATCATCAGCCCTAATTGGTTCGAATCTTTTGAGTTAATGTGTGATGCTAGCGGTATGGCACTGGGGTTGTGTTGGGGTAAAAGCGCAACAAACTGTTTCACCCAATCTACTATGCAAGCAAGACTCTAAATAGTGCTTAGCAGTATTATACGATCACCGAACAAGAGTTGCTTGCAATAGTCTATGCATTTGAAAAATTCAGGGCATACTTGTTAGGCACCAAAGTAATCGTACACACTGATCATGCTGCATTTTGATACTTGATGGCAAAGAAAGATGCAAAACCACGATTTATTAGGTGGGTACTACTACTACAATAAGTTAATTTCGAGGTAAAAGATCGAAAAGGATGCGAAAATCAAGTGGCTGATCATTTATGAAGGTTGGAAGCAAGGGCGAATGTTGAGCATGAGGTTGACATAGACGACTCTTTCCCCGATAAACGGGTGTTTGCAATATCCCTCAAACATATGCCATGGTATGCAGATTTTGCAAATCACCTTGTGTGGGCTAATGCCGGATGAGTTGACTTTTTACCAATAGAAAATATTTATGTTTGATGTTAAAAAGTACTTTTAGGATGAACCATACCTGTTTCGAGAGTGTGCTGACCATGTCATCAGAAGGTGTATCCCGGAAGAAGCAATAAAAATTCTCCATGCTTGCCATACATCTCCAGTGGGAGGTCACCATGGTGGTATACGCACAACCGCTAAAGTCCTCCAGAGTGGATACTACTAGCCATCACTCTACAAGGATGCACATGAGTTTGCAAAGAAATGCTCTAAAATGCCAGCAGCAAGGCGGAGTGTCTAGAAGACACAAATTACCTCTCACTCTTATTTTAGAAGTCGAGCTATTCAATGTATGGGGGATCGATTTCATGGGCCCATTTGTGAGCTCGTTTGGAAATAAATATATCTTAGTGGTTGTAGATTATGTTTCCAAATTGGTGGAAGCCATCACACTTCCAAACAACGAAGGAAAAAGTGTTGTCCAATTCCTGAAACGCTATATCTTTGCAAGATTTGGTACTCCGAGAGCAATCATTAGCGATGGGGGATCCCACTTTTGCAATAAGTGGTTCTCAATGGCACTGAGCAAATATGGGGTGAAACACAAAATAGCAAGCCCATATCATCCCCAAACAAGTGGCCAAGTTGAAGTGTCGAATAGGGAAATCAAATGCATATTGGCAAAAATGGTAAATATCAACTGAACTGACTGGTCTAGGAAACTCGATGATGCACTATAGGCATATCAGACTACTTACAAAACAACTATCGGGATGTCTCCATATCAGTTGGTTTATGGTAAGGCTTGTCATTTGCCGTCGAGTTAAAACACAAAGCATTGTGGGCATTGAAAGCTTTAAATTTGGAATTGTCAAAAACATCAAGGGAGAGAGTAGAGCAGCTGAATGAACTCAGACTCAGATGATATGAAAGATCAGCCATATGGATTGTTTAGAGTAATGAGAATGTTCGTCAATGGTCCATAGAAGTTGAAGATCAGGAAGGACCTCCATTTACAGTGAACGGTCAACGTCTGAAATTGTATCTGGGGGATTGTCAAGAGATCTCATTGGTGGAAGTGGTATATTTGGAAGGCTCCTGAAAGCGTTGTTGCGTCGTGCCGCGACATTAACCAAGGCGTTGTTTGGGAGGCAACCCAAAAATCCCTTTAATTACTTTATCTTTATTAATATCAACTATTTATTTCTTGGTAAAATAATGGTGTGTTGTTTGTACAGGTTAAAGTATGAGAAGTGTTTAAAAAAGTGAAGGATGACAAGCAATAGATACAGTCGGCGAGTCGCTGAAGGAGTTTGGCGAATCTAACCTTGCCCGCTGTTTGACTCAACACATCATCAACATTGGAGTTTGTAAAACTCGGCGAGCTTTGGAAATTATTGGCGAATCGCCGACATGACTGTCGTTTGGACTTTCATGATGACTGAAGGTCCTGTAAAACTCGGTGAATTGAGTGCTCACTCAACGAGTCGCCAAGAGGTTCGGTGATCGGAACTAATGTCACCGAGTGAGTGAATAATTGGATGGTTTTTGCAAGCCACAGGTTTAAAAGCTCTATTTCATTCATTTTCTCTCACTTCTTCGTCCTAGCAAACTCACACCCGAACTCTAGCCTTTTATTTATTGCAATTTTAGAGTATTTTAGCTATTGAATTATTCTTGGAGTTGGATTGCATTGCTGCCTAGCACTCCATTAGTATCTATTTGGCATAAAAGGTTGGTAACTCGATTTGAGGACAAATACCTTTTTATTTGTGGTGGGGTGAGGCCCACCTATGTGTGCTACTTTTGCTCGTGTTTGTATATATTTGGGCTGTTTTGTTTAAAAGTGTTTTTATACTACTTTTTGTGGATGTTTGAGCTCATGGCTCTCTTTTGTTTTAATTGCAAATGATTTTGACCCTTTCGAATTTTTTTAAATTTTTCGCACATTTCTGACACCCCTCATGAGTTGAATATGGTTGTTCTTTTGCAAAAATTTGAGTCTCGGTTTCGATCAATACTGATGACTTGAATAGTTCTCTCAATCGAACGAACATGAATGTACGGCTACGATGAGGCCAAATGAAGTTGCGTAGATAATATGTGAACTCTTTGCATCTCGTTGTGATTACCCATTTATCAAATTGATTCTCTTGTAATGACCATTGCATACTAGCGAAAGTGTGTAGTCTTGTTTGACTTAAGTGTCAATGCCTTGTGTGATTAGCTTGCTTTGATCCATTCATGAATAAACCTAGAATTTGCCCTATTAGTCTGATTGATTTAGAAAGGTGTCCTCTTGAGATGATCTTAGGCAACTTTAAAGAGTGTGAGCCAAATTTGACATATACCTCTTTTGTGGCCTACCCGTGAGCGTGTGAAACTCTTTTGAACACCCTTTGAGCCTTACCTTTCTTTGGAAGAACCTTGATGAACCCTAGACCTTACTTGACCCACTACCTACAATCCTCTTGAGTTGTGGTTTAGCGAATAGGCAACTTAGGGGATGTGGTGAAAAGGAAAAGGAGAAGTCAAGAAGTGCAAGAAAAGTCCCCCTATATATATATATATGTGGAATAAAGTACGAAGGAAATCGGGTTTCCAAACAATCCATGAATGTGAATAAAAAGGTGACTTAGAAGCACTAGAAAAAGAATTGATAAAGGAAAAGAAGGGAATGCCTTGAGAATACCATAGATCACGAGGAAAAAGTCACTGAGCCTAAATGACCATACCTTTGCACTCATCCCCATTACAAGCCTTAGAAAGACCTTTTTGATCTTGAGTAAGCCGAATCGAAAGTCGATTGGAAAATAAGGGCAAACCTATGGGTGAAAACATGCATTGTGTTCCTCTTTTTTTTGAGTGTGAGCGTTGCATTTGATTCTTGATCTTGAATTGTTTAACCTCTGTGTGTGAATATAGAATCATTCTTCATGTGAGGGCATTTAGATACTTTTTGTTGAGCTTGAACTTGTACAAGTAGCAAGTATTGCGTGCATGAGAATCTTTGATAATGGTGTGTCATAACCTGAATCTTTGAGTACACAATTGATCCTTGTATAAGTAAATTGAGTCTTGTTGTGTGCATTCATGATTGAGTCTTGTGTAGCACTGTTTGAGACACCCTTTTTGAACGGCTTAACTTAAGTTTGCTTGAGGACAAACCTAGTTTGCTTAAGGATAAGCAAAAGTTTAAGCTGGTGGTGTTGATGAGTCCACAAATTGGACTCATTTAAGGCTTTATTTTGATAGAAATAGTGTCCTCGAATGCTTATTTTGTCTCAATATCTGATGAAAACTCTTAAATTTTAGGTATTTGAAGTTTTATCGGAAGCATGGACACTTAGGCGCAAAAAGGAACAAAAAGGCTGAAAAGAACGAAGAAGTTGAAGCTTGACCATCGCCAAACACCTTTGGCGATTCGCCGAAAGGACATACTTTGCCCT